CCCCCCCCCCCCCCCCCCCCCCCCCCCAAAAAAAAAAGAAAGGATACACACATCTTTTTCATTATTATTTTATTTTATCTATTACTTCGAGAATTCCAGAGAAAAGGAGACAACCCGTTCCAGGGAAAAAACCCGACAAGCAGGTCTGAAACAAAATGAAAAACGAGCGGATCAAGAAAGGAAAAAGAAATGATCTGTCCCGAGGGCGGCAAGGGCCAACAGCCGTAAACTACCCTTGTCTACAAAAAGAGAGAGGGGGAGAGAGGGGGTGGGAAAGAGAGAGACAGAGAGAAAGAGGAACAACCCAGCCCCATCACTATTCACCGCGATTTCGGTCAAATGCTCAGTTTTTCACCCTACGAGACATCTCCTTCCTGACGTTGCCAGCCACCACTTTGATGACATGGCTGATCCACAACCTCTCTCTCTCTCTCTCTCTCTCTCTCTCTCTCTCTCTCTCTCTCTCTCTCTCTCTTTTCACCACGATTTCGGTCAAATGCTCAGTTTTTACACTACGCGACGTCTCTTTCCTGACGTTGCCAACCACCAGTTTGACGACATGACTGATCGACCTCTCTCTCTCTCTCTCTCTCTCTCTCAAGGAAACAGCAAGTACGACAGAAAAATGAACGGGATCGGGCCACCGACCACAAAACTTGTCTCTTTACGAGGGAAGAGCAAGACCGCAAATCTCTCTCTCTCTCTCCAAGGAAACAGCAAGTACGACAGAAAAAATGAACTGGATCGCGCCACCGACCGCAAAACGTGTCTCGTTACGAGGGAAGAGGAGGAAGACCGCAAAACGTCTCTCTCTACGAGGCGAAAGAACACAATACATAATTCACGAAAAGGAGAAAGAAGAAAGGAAAGGAGGGCAGTTGCGAGGAAGAGGGAAAAGAAAAGACTACGAACAGGAAAACTAAACTAACGTAAAGGTCATCCCGCCTGAGCCTCCAATTTGATGAGGCATCCATCGAAAGATCAGGCAGGCAATTCTCTTAGGACGGACGAGAAACAGAGAAGGCAATTGGCGGAAAAGAGAGAGAGAGAGAGAGAGAGAGAGAGAGAGAGAGAGAGAGAGAGAGAGAGAGAGAGAGAAAGGAGATTGCCGCTGAAGCGAACCGACAACTTTCCCCTGTTCTCTTTCTTTTTTCCTCCCGAAGCATTTACGACTTTTCTAATATTTTGTTTTATATACAAGACGAAAAAAAAAAAAAAAAAAAAAAAGAGAGATCGCGAAAGGGAGTGAGCGGAGGCGTTCATCCGCTTCATAAAACAAAAGATCGAGAGAGAAAGAGAGCGAGAGAGACAAGAGGAAGAGAGGAGGTGGCGGAAAGGAACGACAGATAAGGAGCTTGGGGCAGCGGGGGAGAGGGGAATTGGGAGAAGGGGGGAGGGAAAAGAGGTAAAAGAGAGAAAAGAGGGAAACGGCGGAAAAGAGAAACGACGGAAAAGACGGAAAAGAAAGGATTGACAGGAGAGACCTCGATTCCGGCGGATGAAAAGCTCACTCCTCGCCTTCCTGTTCTCTCTCTCTCTCTCTCTCTCTCTCTCTCTCTCTCTCACACACACACACACACACACACACACACACACACACACACACACACGCACACACTTTTCGGTAAAGAGGATTGAGAGAAGAGAGGGGGAGGGGGAAGGAGATCGAAGGGGAGGGGGCAAGAAGGAATGGTACAACACTGACGTCTTCCCCCGTACTGAACACACCGTCATTGTCGCTGTATCTAGTAGACTGAAAGTTGCCCCAAACAGAGATATAATGACTGTGCGTTCTATTCGGGGGAAACACTGGATACCGCACCCAGAGTGCAGAGAATGACTTATCGAAAACCTCCCCCGTTCAGTTCCTTGTATTTTTTTTTTCACTATTTTTCTTTTTCGCTTCGTTCCGAACTTGCTCTCCAAAAAGAAAAGAGGGAGAAAAATAAAGGAAAAGAGGGAAAAAAAAAAGAAAAGTGACGAAAGGCTGATCAACGCAGGACATAGTCGCACTACCGCACAAAATTACGGCCGGATCTGAACGAAAGTAATAAAAAATCACCTCCAGAGGTGTGATGAGTTTTTTCTGTTTTTTTCTTTTATTATTATTAAACTGATCAGAACCGATACAGTGCACTTGATCTTACTTAGCCAAAAGGCCGCGAAAGGTATTGGGTGACGAGTACACCCTCCAAAAAGTAAAACGAAAGTAATTAAAGAAATCCAAAAAGTAAAACGAAAGGACAGAAGGGGAAAAAAAAAGATCGGAGGTGAAGAGAAAGGGAAAGGTATGTGCAATGTAAAAAAAAAAAAAAAAAAAAAAAGGTATGCGCACTCTTGTTTATTTTCTCATCCCCGCAAAAGAAAGTATTAAAAAAAAAATCCAAATAGTACAACGAAAGGACAGAATGAAAAAAAGAGATCGGAGGTGAAGAGAAAGGGAAAGGTATGCGCAACGTGCATCCCCGAATATCCCCGGGAGACCCCACCAGCAAAGAGGATTGGATTAAGCGGGCTGAATCTGGACGTGATTTTCGCAGAGATGCAGAAAAACAGATCAATCGCGATTTTTCTGCACCTCTCTCCCAACGCGTCCAGATTCAGGTGTTAAATCCGATCCTCTTTGCTACTGAGACCTCTCCCCGGGTTTTCTTTTTTCAACATATAGTATTACGTGTATATATATATGCTCACGTATATTCACAGACCCTTCCTTTCTTTTTCTTTCTTTTCTTTTTTTTTGGGGGGGAGGGGCATATCGAGAGACACTGGTGATCGTTGACCCGAGATCGTGCATCGAAAATCTTCTTTTTTTTTTTTTAAGAGAAGAGAGAAGAGAGAAGAGAGAGAGAGAGAGACAGAGAGAGAGAGAGAGAAAGAGAGAGAGAGAGTTCTCCAGATCTCTTCTTTTGATTTATTTTTTTTTGGTCTCTTGCTTCGCCACTCGCTCTTTAGTTCACAACAATTCCCCCCCCCCCAAAAAAAAAAAAAAAAAAGTTCACAACAATTTAACTCTTTGCGCGTTGTATAAAAATTAAACCACATGCCCGAGATCGTGCATTGAAAAACCTTCCTTTTTCAACAACCAAAAAAGAGAGAGAGAGAGAGGGAGAGAGAGAGAGAGAGAGAGAGAGAGAGAGAGAGAGAGAGAGCTCCAGGTCTTTTTGGCTTGTTTTTTTTTTTTCGTCTCTTGCTTCGGTACTCCCTCTTCAATTCACAACTTCACAACAATCAACTCTTTGCGCGTGTTGTATCGAATTTTAACACCTCACGCACGCTCCACCGCTTCTGCGGTCACTCCCTTTAGACGTTACTTCCTTTCTTTTCTTTTTCTTTTTTTTTTCTTTTTTTTTTTTTTTTTCTTTTTTTTTTTTTTCGTTACTCCCTTTTGAAGTCTAGAGTTTCAGCATTGCGACCGCACTGCACTGCCTGCAGCGTAGGATTGACCGTAGAAGGGCAAGATTGAGAGAAAAGAGATCGCGGGTAGGGATATGGGTGAAAGTTGTAAAGTGCGAAAGCAGAAAAAAAAAATAAAAATGGAAACGAGAGACGAGGGAACGAGTCAGAGAAATCTTTATGTTGGTTGTAGTGAAGAGAAAGGTGGGATCGAGAGAAAGGGTAGGAGGAGGAGGAGGAGGAGGAGGAGGAGAGGGAGAAGAAAAGGGAGAAGAGACCACCCTTCCTGCAGCATAGGATTGACCGCACACCTTCTTTTTCTGCCTCTTCGCATTTTTTATCTTTACATTCGTTTTTTTTGTATTTTTGAATAGCGAAAAGAAATAAAAATATTTGAATTCCTTACATTAACTCGTTCCTCCTTTTTCTTTCACTGGGCTCGGTCGTTCTGTTAATTACAGTGCAGAAGCGGCAGGATCGAAAGCGACAAGAGTAAGGAGTAGAGAGAGAGAGAGAGAGGAAGTCAGACGGAGCCAGAGGGAGCGAAAGACTACGGTGCACAAGTCACAGGATCCAGAGAGAAAAAGAGACGGAGAGCGACAAAGAGATTACAGTGCAGAAGGGGCAGGATCGAGAGTCAAGAGTAAGACGAAAGAAAAGAGAGCGAGGAGAGAGAGAGAGAGAGAGGAGAGAGGAGAGAGAGGAGAGGAACAGAGAGGAGAGAGATTACAATGCACCAGGGACAGGATCCACAGACAATACTAAGAAGGAGAGAGAGAGACAGGGAGAGAGAGAGAGAGAGACTCTGAGAGAGAGATTACAGGCAGGATAGAGAGGAAGAGTATGGAGGGGGGAGAGATCAGTGCGGAAGCGGAAGGATGGAAAGATGAAGGAGAGAGAGAGAGAGAGAGAGAGAGAACGAGAGAGAGAGAGAACGAGAGAGAGAGAGAGGAGAAGTGGCAGAATCGGGAGACATGAGTAAGAAGGGGAAAAAGAGAGAAAGAGAGTACAGTGCAAAAGGGGAAGAATCGAGAGAGAAGAGGAAGAACAAGAGACAGAGAGAGGGAGAGTGATTACAATGCACAAGGGCAAGATTGAGAGAAAAGAGCACGAGGGGAGAGATAGATCAGTGCGGAAGAGGCAGGATCGAGAGGCTAAGGAGAGAGAGAGGGAGAGAGATTAAACTGCAGAAGGGGAGGAATAAATAGGAGGAAGAAAGAGAGAGAGAGAGAGAGAGGAGAGGGAGGTAGGGAACCGCACCTTTCGTGCAGCGAATGATTGACAGAAAAGCTTCCTCGACTTCCTTCTGCATTTGATCGGGTTTGCCTCTGGGCGCATCCTTCCAGTGGGGTCGAATGACAGGTCCATCTTCTCTTCCGATGAGGCTCTTGAATCTCTTGAAAGCTTTGTAAAACGTTGTCAGCTGCTCTCTTCCATCCTCCTTCTCCACTACCACCCCTCCTCCGCCCCCAGTCTCGCAGGCCGTCTCGGGATCTATGACCTCCACGCCCCCAGCGGCACCGTCATCGCCTTCTCTGTCGAATTCCACGCCGCCTCTCATTCCCTCCTCCACATCGGAGGCCCCACTCGTCGCCTCTCTCTCCTCTTCCAGCCCGACCTCCTCTTGTTTCTCTTCTTCCTCCACGTGGCACGTCCCTTCCTCTCGCTCCTCTCCTCCTTCCTTCCTCCTTCCCTCGTCGTCCAGTCCACCTCCACATCCTACCTCCTTCTCCTCCTCCTCTTCTTCTGGTTTAGTGCTGCATGTCTTCTTCTTCGATTCACCATCTTTCGGAGATTCTGTAGTAGCCACGGAATGCAGACTGCCGACTTCTTCATCCTCCTCTTCCCCCTCCTCCTCCTCCTCCTCCTCTCCCTCCTCCTCCTCCACCACCACCACCTCTTGATCCCCCTGTTGATGCTCCTCATCGCCCTCTTCCATTTGTTGCCCGTATCCTTTCTCTCTCTTTCCCTCTGCGCTGCCCTCCTCCCCCTCCTCCTCCCCCCCCTCCTCCTCCGCCTCCTCCTCCTCCACCACCACCTCTTGATCCCTCTGTTGATGCTCCTCATCGCCCTCTTCCATTTGCTGCCCGTATCCTTTCTCTCTCTTTCCCTCTGCGCTGTCCTCTACTAGCGGGAGATGGTCGTCCATTCTCTGTCCTTTATTCTTCGCCCCCTCTGCCATCCCCCGGCCATTATCCTCCTCGATCGCTTTCGCACAGTCATTTTCACCTACCCCTTTTCCATCCAGTCTCGCTCCCTCCTCCTCCTCCTCCTCCTCCTCCTCCTCCTCCTCCTCCTCCTTTCCGCAAGGGAGATCTTCGCTGCTGCCACTATGCAACGCCTCCTTGCCGTCTGGTTGGGCTTCACCATCCTCCAGAACTGCTTGGGGACACCTGATGATATCTTCATTCTGACCCTCCTCCTCCTCCTCTTCGTCGTCCTCCTCCTCCTCCCCCTCCTCCTCTTCCTGCTGCTGCTCCTTTGCCACCTGCTCCGTGGGCACATTGCCGGTCATGGTCTCCTCAACGACAGCAGAAGAAGACGCAAGCTCGACCTCCTTCTTGTTCTCTTCCTCGCTCTCCTCCACCAACAGAGGCACCGCAGATCGGTATCTCCTCCTCCTCGTATTGTCCCTCCTCCTCTTGACGCTCTGTCCATGCTCCCCAAACCAGCCACCATAAAAGGCCTTCTCTTTCTCCGCCGAAGCCTCCCCCTCCTGCTTAGCACCACCCCCGGTGCCATTCAACCCGTGCTCTCTGGCGATCTCCGCCCGCGCCCGCGCTCGGAGATTGCCGAGACCAGATCCCACTGCCCCTTTGTCCGCGGCGGACTGTGAGGTGGCAACCTCCGCCAGCCCGTGGAGATTGCCGAAGGCGGCGGAGGGGGAGGCTGCTGAAGAACGGAGCGCGAGGGAGGAGAAGGAGGTGGGGTGGAAGGAAAGCGAAGGACGAGGCGAAGGATGCCGCTTTCGACGGAAAGGAACAGGGGGGCATGATGACTGAGACTCGTACAAAGAGATGGGAGCGGAAGAGGAGGATGGAGGGGGAGGGGAAAGAGGTGGAGGAGGAGGAGGAGGAGGAGGGGGGGGAGGATGAGTAGGAGGTACCCTTGATGATTTGCGTATGCCGTGTGAGGCATAGAAAACTCTTCGCCTCCTGCTCACTCGAACCTCCTCCACAGCTTCTCCTCCTCCTCCTCCTCCTCCAGAAGATGAAGAGGAATTATTTCGTTCTTTTCCTCCACCTCCTCCTCCTCCACCACCGGAAGAAGACGAATTATTTCTTTCTTTTCCCCCTCCTCCTCCTCCTCCTCCTCCTGCTGCTGCTGCACCCCCATTACCAAACCCACCTCCTCCTCCCCCTCCTGCTGACCCTCCGGCGATCCCTCCTCCGCCCCCCCTTTCAGCGGCTTCGATATGGCATGCCGTAGGCGATTCACCGTTACTCTTGCGGTCCTGCTCGGCCTGCAATTGCTGCAGTTCGATCTCCCGCCGATAACGCTTCTTCGGCGGTATCATCTCCTCCTCGTTCGGACAGTTATTTAACGGTGAAGATGCATGTGAAAAGAACCCACAAAACACTACTTGTGCTA